GGAGCGTGAGCTGGGTGTGTTACTTGAGGAGGCGTTCGTGCATGATCCGCTTGACGCGCAGCTTCTGCTGAAGTTCGCTGGGTGCTGTGAGGGCCTCCTCGGGGTTCATCGCCACGCGCAGCTGATACGCTTCGAACTCGTCCCGCAAGAAGGGCTGCGACGATGTCATATACAGCGCGTACGGTTTGGGTTCTGAGGCGTCGCCTGTGGGGGGGGGGCGAGTGAGAACGCGCGAACGAACTACGAGTTCGGGCTTCACTTTCTCCGTGCGGCTCACCTCCAGGTACGACACACGACACGACCAACGACACGACACGACACGACACGCGCGGCACACGACACGCGGAGCACGACAATATATGTGCACGGACACAGCCTGGTTGAGGGTACCGGAGACTCTGACGAGGAGGTTCAGGTTGCACACCAGGGATCCCAGGAGGTCGTGGCGATAGGGTGCGATCCTCTCGCAGCCCACCACGCGGCCAATCGCGTATTGATTGCTCATGTCTGGGCAGTACACAATCGCGATGCGAGATGTCAAACGTCAAAATCAAGTTTGGCGTGGCACCAGAGGCGAACAGGGGTACCCTTGACGCGAACGAGGAAACCGTTCACGATAGTCTCGAATTGATCGGCGCTCGTTGTGTACCACTGCAAGAGGGTGTCGCGATCCAGCCGCATCTGTGTGAACAAGAGCGTTTGGTGAGACAAGAACCATGAGGTATTACAAATCAGCCAAGGCAGCGTGAGGATTGGGGCGTACATGTTGAAGGCTCTCGAGGGTGACATCCAGCACGTCCGCTGTCGCGTGTTGTTGTTGTGGATGTTGCTGTTGCTGGAGATGCTCGCCATACCCAGTGCCGGCCGAGTAATGGACATAGGGCGACTGTGGGTACGAGTACGGCGTTGCCGGTGCATGCGAGTAGGGCGAGGCAGAGATGGAGCTTGCTGGCACGGAGTGTGACGCCGTCCCTAACATCCACGAGCAGGGCGTGAGTAGAAGGGCCAACCGGAGAAGGGCTGCCGGGTAGGTGTACCTCCTCCACAGTAGGGACAAAAGCGGTATTGACTGTGCACGCTCGAGCCGCAGCTGAGACAAGCTAAGTTGTGTGAAGCCGGTTGCGTTTGTTCGGTGCCGTAGGCCACGCCTTGCGCGCTACCGCTCGGGTACCCCACGGCATCGCTGACCAACTCCAGATCGTATTGGAGGCGCCCGTTTCCCGTGTCCTACACCACATTCAACGCAACTCCAGGTTCAGACTCATAGCGAGGAGTGGCCTATCGCAGTATTGCGTACCACGACCCTTTCTACGCGCACGCGCACTGTCTGCCCGCACGTCAGGTCCTTGCAACGGCGCAGCATGCCTGTAGGCATTTTTAATGTGAAAAGTAAGAAGTCCACAGGCGTGACGCACGAATGAATAGGCGCGTACCTTGCTTGGCGTAGCCGGGAATCGTGATAAAAATTCCATAGCCGTGGACGGACGACACGGTCCCCGTGTGGATGGAGCCTTCGTCGGGGGCAATCACGGTCGATGGGCTCGTCAGCGACATTGTGATTTGAAGCTTTGGCTCTTCCTGATTGTTCATCATCAGCAAGCTTACCCACGCAAAAGCGTAAGAACGTACCCTTATTCTAACGATCTTGCCATACACCCTAGCTCCAGGCTGGAGCCCCGCATTCACTGCTTCCTGTGCCGGGATTCTCGCTTTTCGCCGTCCCGCATAGGTGTGAGAAGATCACGGTAAACCCAAGGTCCAACATTCAAGGCAGTCACATACCATAGGCGGCTACCCCAATATCAACAAACACGCCGCACTTGTTGACGTTTGCCACCACGCCCGCTACGAGCTCGCCTACCGCCGGTAGGCCGGTCGTTTTGCCTGCGATAATGCAATGTCACTCAGACAAAATACCTCACGCTGCAAACATGATGGAAGCGTACCTGACGAACGCGATGGGTTGGCTGCGTGGCAGAAGCGACACACGATCCGGGTACAAAAGTTTCCTGTACAACACACAAGAAGAACCGAACACACGCACATGATACACTGACGTGAGTGAGCGAAAAGTGGAGAGAATTAGCTGTCGAGCGCACCTTTGCATCCACAGCGAAGACAGTCCCACGAGCGATCGTTCGAAGCGGACAAGGAATCTGATGCCGTGTGCGGGTGCGACGGTGATGCGGGCAGCGAAGGCGAGGTCGAAGGCGACGGCGACGTGCAGGCAAGAGTGTAGCGCGAGGTCGACAAGGCCCGAGACGAAGATGGATGAGATGTGGGCGAGAGTTCCCACGCGTTTGAATTGCCCGTGACGGGCGATGATATCGTTGCAGAGGAGGTTGACGTTGTCGCAGCATCAGACGTCTTACTTCTCTTCGTCACCTCCGCAATCCTGACCGGCAGCATCGGCTTCCTCATTATCGCTGAGCGCGTTGTTGTCTGCTCGCTCTCCTGTGCCGGGTGGTCGTCCGAATCCATGGCGGCAAGATCGTCGAACGAGCCAGACGCCGACGTGATCCGCTTCCTCTGCTTCGTCCCGACGCGGAATCCCTTGAGCGGCGGCGAGGGCATGACGGAGACCGGCAGCCTTTTCGTGCGCTTCGCGGGCCGCTTCTCTTCTTTCCACTCTTCGTCTTCCTCTTCTTCCTCGTCCTTGCTGTCCAACTTGCGATCGTCGTCCTCGTCGTCATCTGTGTGCCTCGAAGGAGATGCGGCGAGAGCGGCAGCTTCTCGAGATCGGCGGCGCACGGTAAGGGCAGTCTTTGAGCTCCTACTCGACGCCTCGCTCTTGTGGGTGCCCTTGCTCTTGCTGGTCGAACGCTTGGCGCTACTCGACTTCGGCTTGGTAAGACTGTCGGTGTTGACGTCGACGTTGACGTTGACGTCCACGTTCTCCTTGTCGGCCTCGCTTGTCGTCTTTAAGCCGCTGCTGCCGCGGGTGAGAACCCGCTTGGATCGCGGCGAGGTTTTCGTCTGCTTGGCCTTCTTCGTTCTCGAGCTCTTGTCGATCGCCTTCTTGACGGCGGCCTTCGCTCTGTTACGCCTATCCTGCCTACGCCTGGTGCTCTGCGACGGAGTCGAGCCGAGCGTTGGCGACACCGCTTCTTCATCGTCGTCGCCCTCCGAGCGTACCGCGTCAATTGGCTTACCCTCTACTTCGGCGGAGATTCGAGTGTGAGGCGACGCAGGTGGCGTCTGACTGCGCACATATACGAGGTAATGGACGTCGTACCAGAGTCGGCTGGTTCAGCGAGCGGCGGCGCCTGGTGTTGATCATCATCTGGCTGTGAGGTTCCTGCGCCGAGTTGCGCTCTGGGGGGTGCGTCTACCGCCGTCTGCTGGCCAGCCCTGGTAGAAAGTCCGGAAGTGTTACTGGCAGACGCATAAAGCTCAAAGAGAAGTGGAAAGAGGTACATCAAGTTCAAGGGCAACAGGAGCGGGCTAACAACGCCGATAGCCTCGAGGTCGTCGCTTATGTTTCTACACAGCATGCCGAAGAGACAGCGTCAATCGCAAATACCCGCGACCAGACGAGCGGCTACTACATTTGTAGCAGCTCGCGTTGAAAGAACTGTGCGAAGGCGTGGACGTACGAGAGAAAGGCCTCGAGCTCCAGAAGGTCTTCGTCGATCTTGCGGGTGGGCTTAAGGGTGCAGCAGCGTGGGTGAGTACAAGCAAGGCCAGTGCTACGCGGTAGAGCCAGCCGTACCACGTCGGCCAGCGCCTGCTGGTCTTCAGCAGTGGTGTTCATCGCCGTTGCTAGTCCTACACAAACCAATTGAGCATGAGATGAGATTTGTGTAGCGCGAAACAGGCAATCTTCTTGTGATTAGAATGTGAGTGCAGAACGCACGCAGGTTGTGATGTGGAGTAGGTGCTTGGCGGTGGAGAGGTCTTCGCGGCCGGCAGGTTTGAAGGAAAGAGCAGAACGAGAGCGAGCGCGAAGCAAAGGGCCGTCCATGACGACGCGCTACACGACCGCTACTTGGCCGTCGTGTTCAAAGGAAGAGAAGAAAAGCGTTGCAGGAAATGGACGAGTTTGCGTTTCCCGCCAAAATAATAAAATGAGAAAAGAAAAATCCCAATTCCATTTCTCTGCTTTTTCTTGCCTGGCGCAAATCAACAGAATCAAAATCGTTTTCTGTGTACCGCCCAGCCGACCCAGATGAGTTCAAGGAAGCGTTCGAGGTCTCGATCTAAAGAACGAGGTAACCAAGCCTTCTTTCGCCCCCCCAAGTTAATGCAGCCGTTTTATTCCGGTCGTTGTGGCGGTGGAATATTTGTTGATTTTTATCACTGAGCAGATGGGCGTAGCGACGATCGCGACGTAGCGAGGGACAAGAGGTCGCGCAGGGAGGACGAATCTCGACGCTTTAGCGAGCACTCAAGGTAACAACCACCCACCGCCATCGCTTTGTTGAGCCGGCCATGGCGCTAAAAGCGAACCAGCCAAGGCGGACACTCACACCATTGCGTGCGTATGTGCAGAGGCGAGGACTCCCGTCGCGACGGCAGGGACAGAGACAGGGAGAGGGAGCGAGACAGAGGCCGCGAGCGCGATCGCGACGGTGGCTACCGCGACCGCGACCGCGACCGCGAGCGTGATCGAGGCGACGTGGACAGGGATCGCGAGCGGGAGCGAGAGCGAGACAGGGACAGAGACAGAGGATCCGGGAGGGACCGCGAGAGGGAGCGGGAGCGGGAGCGCGAACAGCGCGACAGGCGAGACAGAGACCGAGAAAGGGATCGGGACATGGACGAGCACCGGGAGCGAGAGCGGGAGCGCGAGAGAAGGCGGAGTCTCTCCAGGTAACTCTTCTTTCTCGTGTGTGTCGTGTGTGTCATGTGTGTCGTGTGTGTCGCGTGTCGCGTGTCGTGTGTCGTGTTCGTGCGTGCGTGCGTGGGTGGTGTAATGCGGCACAATGTGCTAACGCGCTTGGGCTCCTCTTTGGCGCGTGCAGTGAGAGGAGACGCAATTCGCGCTCCAAGTCGAGGGACAAGGCCGACGCCGAGGAACAGGAGAAGGAGGAGGCAAAGATGCCGCAGAGCAAGTACGAGGAGGGCTCCATGGAAGCCATGATGGCCGCGATGGGCCTGCCCGTGGGCTTCGAAACAACCAAGGGCAAGCAGGTCGAAGGTATTGTGTGGTGTGTGTTTGTGTGTGTGTGCGCGCGCGCCACCACACCGCACTTGCCCTCCGCAATGCACGACGTACTAAAGCTCGCCCTCTTCTTCTTCTCTCACACTGCAGGCAACGCACAGGGTGCCGTCAAGGTGAAACAGAAGCGAGAATACAGACAGTACATGAACAGGAAGCCTGGCGGCACAGGAAAGAGATAGATGATGACCTTCTTCTTCCTCATCTATCGCTGATGCAGGTGTTGCTTCGGGCAGAAAATCTTTCGAACACGAAGAAGAAGATGACAACAAGTCATCACTGCACCATGATGGAGTGGAAAACGATATGTTCATGGAATTGACGAACAAGAGAAGACAGTGGATGATGGTGAGGTATCATTAGATGACAGGCTCGGGGGTGCCCTGTTCGATGTAGAGGGAGGTCTGGTTGACCTTCTTCGTCCAGTCCTGGAGGTTGTCCCTCATCTTCTTGATGTGGTCCAGGCTGAGCACGCGCGACTGCACCCACGTCACGTTGAAGGTCTGGTTGAGCTGGTCGATCTTGCCCTTCAACAGCTTGAGCGAGAGCGCCTTCATCACCAGCAGCTCGACCTGCAATCAATCAACGTCAGTCGCGCTGATCGTGTGTCGTGGGAGTGTGTGGTCGTGGCGTACCATGTCAAGGCCGACCTTGGTGGTCTCAGCGATGGCAGAGAGAGGGACACTCCTGTCGATGGCCTGGCGCGCGAAGATGAGCTCGATGAGGCAGAGAATGGAGATCTTCTCCTTCATTCGGTCGACGTGCTGGACGAGGATGGGTTGGCTGGCCAGCTGCTGCTCGTACTTCGCCACGAGCTGCTCGTACGTGTGGATATCACCCTTGTTAAAGGCGTGAAGCAGGTGGTGCAGCCACTCGCCTTGCGTGCCCAGAAGCGAATCCACGATAGGGTGCGCCAACTACGCGAAGAAGAAGAAGAAGAAGAGTCGGGTGAGCACTCATACGGACGTGAACGCGTCATGACAGCAGGTGGCAGGAAAGGAAGCGTGTCGTACAAGGTCGCCAAAGCTGTAGATGTCCTCGCCAACCAGGGCAGAGATGCCGAGATCGAAGGCCATCTGGAGCCTTTCCTGCTCCGAGAGGGACTCGATCGCGGTGTAAGAGAGGTAGAGGAGAGCGTTTCGGTAGAACTCGGCAGAGAGACCGGCAGCCTTGTGATAGATGGCCTGAGCCTTGTAGTAGTTGGCATAGACCGAGGTGTCGATGCCGGCCACGCCGTCGAGGCCAGTCTGGATGGACTCGAGCAGCTCCTTGGTCTCCTCTCGGTTCTTGGGGTCCTGCAGCTTGAGCTGGGCGATCACCGAACGCACCAGCAGGTAGGCATCAGGGCTGCCCTCGGCTCCCGACACCTTCGTCGCCACGCCCTCCAAGAACTTGATAGTCTCCACCGGGTCTGCGTTGCAGCAATCGGTTAGAGTGGTCTTGAAGATCACTGCTGAGCTGAGCATAGCAGTACCGCGGTAGGCCTTGGAGATGGCGAGAATGATGTGAACGAAGCTGAGCTGATTGATCTTGGATTCAAAGTGCTTGATGAAATCGGTGTAGAGGGGGATCAGCTGTGGCGATTCCTTGAGGTGAGGGTGGTTCACCAGCTCCAGCAACTGGGTGGTGAGGTTGTGCCAGAGCCTAAACAATATCGAGCATAATTTATTGGATCAGCAGTCAATCAACGCATTCCAATTGCAATGCACAGCAATGCGGCAAACACTGCACAGGCGATCACAGTGATCAAAGTGTGGGATCTTGCGGTTGCGTACCTCCTCTCAAAGAGATCGAGCAGCTCCTGATACTTACAGCCAATTCAGGGCTCTGGCCCGTCAGCGCGGCCACAGAATCCTCCAAATACTTCCTGGCAGCTTCCATCTCTTTGTGTTTGTCTATCTTCTTATCTTCTTCTGATGACAAGATCAGTGTTCGTTTCCTTCTGCGGCTCGATCTTTTCACCCACAGCGAAGGTCTCGCTGGCGTCCTGCTTGGTTTTGGCAGTCTGGCCTGGTAGAGGTCGACAAGAATGGTCTTGCGGCCCAAAGCTGCTTTGACAAGCGAGGCGAGAAAAGTGGAACGCTGGTGGCTCAGCAGTCAGAGACGCCGAGCGATCTATCAATCAAAAGACTGGATGGACAGCTGAACCCTTGCGATTCTTCCAAACATCACCGATTTTCATCCTACTGTAAAAATCTTCAAGCATCTCCACAACGCGATCGCACATCTGCAAGATGAGAAACATCTTTAGCAGCAACTCTCCATCTCCTTCCTTGGCTCTTCACTTCCTTCTACTCTTTCTCCTCTTTCACATTCTGTCTTTCTCGCCTCTACTCGCCACATCCACGCCCGCATCGACGACAATAGAACGAAGCGAGCAGGGTATCTCGTTCCTTGTTATTGGCGACTGGGGCAGCGGGGACAATCCCACGTATGCTCCCACCCAAGCTGCTGTAGCCCAGGCCATGGCCCAAGTTGGCCTGCAGTACGCTTGCCATCCTCACCAACTGGGCATTCTCTTATTTGTTATTTCTATTTTCCGATTTCGAGAACAAAAAGACTGCAACTAACTCATTCTCTCATGACTTGCCAACAGGGAGAAGATCCAGTTCGTGGTGTCGGTGGGCGACAACTTCTACGAAGACGGAGTGCAGTCCACGACCGACCCCAAGTGGGCCACTTCCTTTGGTATGACTCCCCCACCTACCACTTCATCCACCGGATAGGCAGCGCTAAGCCTCCTCCCTCTTGACCAACTATTGTCACAGTAAATATGTACACCGGAGAGGCGCTGCAGAAGCGATGGTACCAGATGCTCGGCAACCACGACTACCAGGGCAACGTAAGCTTCTTCGTCTTCGTCTTCGTCCTTTTTGAATGCCAATGCCGAATGTTAACGCTGACGGTGGCGCCTCTATCTTCTTGTGTGCGTGTCGTACAATACAGGTGGACGCACAGCTGAAGTACAAGGCCGATCCACGATGGCACATGCCCGGGAGAAACTACACTTTCTCCCTGCCCGTGACCGGCGACATTCGAGCCACCTTCAGTGCGTGTCCACATCCTTGCCCGCGCCGCGAATTCGCATCGCATGCGTTGCTCACTCCTTCTTCCTCTCACAGTCGTGATCGACACGACTCCCTTCGTGAACGAGTACTACAACTACCCGCAAAACGAAGAAATGCGCAACCAACTCCGAGACCAGCACTGGGAGGTGCGGCGACTGTGCTATTCCCAGCTCTGCGTGCAACTACCTGTTCTTGCCTTGCTGACACGAGTGCACGTGTGGCTCGGTGAAATGCAGGGGCAATTGGAGTGGGCCAAGGCCGAGTTCAAGAAGGTGCCCAAGAAGGACTGGCTGATCGTCTTTGGGCACCATCCAGTCTTCTCCGGCCACAAGGTCGATGGCCAAAACGAATTCCTTGGTGGGCACAGAGAGCTGCAGGCCACCATCCAACCGCTTCTGGAGCAGCACGAAGCTTCGGCCTATATTTCAGGGTACGTCGACTACTCTGAGAGAGCCTCACTTCACTCTCATGTGCGTGTCTCCTCAACCACGTGACGACCGACTCACGATGACTCTTTGATGATGACGTTCGCACATCAGTCACGTACACGACCTTGAGCACGTCATGTTCAACAATGTACAGTACTTCGTGTCCGGCGCTGGCTCTCGAGTCAAGCTCTTGACGCGCTCCCAGGAAAGGTACACCAAGCACATATCGCGCCCTGCTGTGCTGTTGGCGCTCTCTCGTGTGCGACTAACTCGACGTCTGGTCGTGGGTCGTGTCGTCCAGTGCCCTGCTGGAGTCGTACTTCCATCACGACGGCGCCGGCTTCATGTCGCTCTTCCTTGGCAAGGACAACATGACCGCCACCTTCTACGACGAAACCGGCGCCCAGCTCTACTCTTCCCACAGCAAGCGAAAGTACGTACAACCCCACACCAACTTCACAACTCCACTTACCATCAAAGAATCATCAATCTAACTCACCTCTTTCTTCTCTTTGATTCGGACTGATTCCAGGGAGCGTGCGCTGCCCGTGCTCGACTTCCATCTGCTGATGCAGTGGAATGGCAGTCTGCTGCTGCTGCTCTTCGTGCTGGCCATGGTCAACGTGATCGCGCTGGGCGTGTTGCTGGTGATCTACCTCCGCAGGCGCCAGCGGCGCCGAATCCAGATGATCCCCATGCAGCCGCTGGGCGGCGCCCACTACGAGATCGGCGACGATGGGGACGACCCCGAGGCGCACCGGATCGGAATCGAAGAAGAGGCCTCGACCAACGGTGACTATGATCACGACGACGGTGAAGAAGAAGAAGAAGACAATAAGAAGGCCGACGGCACCGAGAAGGAGAAGGAGGCCGCCGCCGAGCAACCCACACAAGCCTCTGGCGTCTGATACCGTTTTAACTTTTGATCGCGCACACCGAACGTGCACAGGGCAGGAATTTTTGCTTTCGTTCTTTTGTTCGTTTTCCAAACATTTCGTTCTTCTTTTCTCTTATCTGTGTGGGTTCAGCAAAACGCCAAGGCGTCCCACAATGAGTGAAGAAGGCCCAGAGTTGAAGTAGTCAGGTGGAGTACCTGGTTCAGTACAAGAATCAACCCTTAGTAGCAAGAGCGAACAGGTTCACAGTTTACACCTCTGAAAGAGGTGGCCTGCTCGTTCCTCTATTCCTAGGAGCTGAGCGGTTCCCAACCAACCCAATGACAATCCTTGTACACCTATATGCAACATCAGCACCTCATCAGCTATGATAAATAATATCTGTGGCCAGCGTCACTTCACTGTACCAGCTCAATGCCAACATCAACAACACTGATGGTTGGCCCCCTCTTTGTGTTGTGTTTGGAGCACCACAAACTGGTGCGATCACTGCACACCACATCAACCAAAAAGAAACCAAAAAGCCGGTGGTTGGGTCACGGGTTAGAATGGCACAGGGTGATGTGGGCGGCCTCGCCACAGGGGCGCATAACCCTCTTTGGCCTGAGCCCCTTCTTGTGAGAGGCCACCACACTGCGCCCCACGTCACGGGTGATCATTAACATCTTGTTGGTTGTATCGAAGTGGCCCATCAACTAATGCACCAGCTCACACCTCAATTCTGGAGGCTTGCCTTGGTGTGGGGATGATACCCAGCCTCCTCAGCAATTGTGGGACCATCACAGTGTGAGCACTTTGCTTTCGTTCTTGATTCTATTTTTTTAACTTTTCGTTCTTTCTTTTTCCTTGGTGCTGTGGGCGTTTAGGCCAAAAGGCAGATAGCTTCCCACAATGGTTGATGAAGGCCCAGTGTTGAAGTAGCCAGGTGGGGGATTGGGGAAAGGCATTACCAACCGCAGAATTGTATCTCCGGTTCATAGTATACATCACTTAAAGTGGTGGCCTGCTCGTCCCTCTATTCCGAGGGGCTGAGCGGTTCCCAACCAATCTAAAAACAACATGCCAACCTGTTCACCACACCGGTTCCCAAACAACTGAACAACAAAGCACTTTATAAATGTGTGTAACATAGGGCGGGATATTCGTGTTGATCGACCGAAAAAACAATGTATGCTGTCAAAATTTGTTGTATTGGTCGTTACAGAAGCCTGCCTCTTCTTCTTACTTACATGGCCGTGATGTAGTGGTACTTACACACTGGTGTCATCCCCCAGCGAGGCGAGCACTTCCTTGAGCTGCTCGACCAGCTCCTGGTCCTGGTGACTGTCGCCGTTCTTCTCATCATTGAGCAGAGTCTGCTCTAGTGCCGCCAGGTTGGCCTCGAGCCACTGGTGGACGACGGCCAGCGATCGCTGCTTGGCCTTGACCGGCACCTGGGTCATGGCCGCCTTACCTCGCTGGGCGCCCGACACCAGCTTCTGGTAGAACTGCTCCAGACCGGCCTTGTTGGTGATGATGAACGAGTTGAGCTGCTCCATGTAGGCCTGACGACATTAAGAGTAGATTAGATATGGTCTTTCATACCTATTCTATATACTTGTATGTCAAAACACAGTCATGTGACGGCATTACCTCTTTGGCGCCTGGCAGCGTGTCGT